GTCTAAAATTTTCAGACGCTAGTGAAATCCCTTTATACACACTACTTTAAACATGTATCCATAGTGGAATGTCGATTCTTTTGCAGCCTCCTAAGCTCCCGTCAATGTCCACAAGGCTCTGATCTCCATTATCAGTTGCTTTAAATTCGGTAATGACATTAAATAAGCAAAACGAATAGATAGCAGCTTTTCTTTGCCATAGAAAGGGAAAAAAGAACAAAGAACAAAGAGAGAGAACTTTTTGGGGTCAGTCACAACACTTTTAAAAGAGTGGAACTTTCATCTAAATCACAGTAAAAATTATAAAACTAGGTAAAATCACTCTTCTAACTAATCCTAGTTTTGTCATGTTTTCAGTACACATTGTACAGAGAAAAATGGTTCTCAAGCTTGCTCTGATGTGTTCATCTGAAATAATATTGCCATACAACAGCCATACCAGCTACCAAGATAACTTTCACAATTAGCTTATAATCTATGAAGGATGGTGAAGCTGATGGTGTCTCTGGAGGGTTGACCGGCCTTCCAGTCAACTTAGCAAACAACTTGGATAGAAGCGAGGTCAATGGGCCTTTCTTCTTCGCAGCTGCAAGCAAAAAAGATTAGCGCAAGTCAAGATGGGGCGACAGAGCACACTAATATGAATAGATCTTTTCATTCAATAAACATCCAAATCAGCACCAATATGTAATCTTTGAAGGAAAACAAATTATTTTACCAAGACATTGCCTAATAACAGTAAATTCTCACGATTTTATTGGGTAGTTTTCCCATCTTGACAAGGGAACTAGAGAAGAAAATGGAGCATTTATTTGATAAACAAGAATATATCTTCACATGAGGTAAAATCTGTGGTTAAGACTGCAAATGGTACCATACAGTTGAAAATTTCATCTATATGCAGCTTAAGCCGAAAGAATTCAAAGCTCATGGTAGTTCATGTGATGATGATACACAACAAGCTATAGTAATTACGGCATATGTTTAATGTTTCTTCCTGGATCATTTTACAGTTATATAATCAGGTCCAACTTAATAATTCTCATATTTAAATCATGAAAAAAGTTGTTATCTGGTTTATTGATATTTCAGACTGTAGTTTCCCATTTATCTTGACCATTATCTAATATCTAAAGAGCGGTTTACAAGCATTCTGTCCTAACAGGACACCTAATAATTAGGCAGAAAATCCAGCATCCTCTATCTTCATAATTATTCTCTCAATTTAACAAAAATTACAGTTGCATATTCGCTACAATACAAGTCGTACAATCATTCAGTAATTGATGGTGGTGGCATCTATACGGGGGTGAGAGAAGTAAGAAAATAATGTTATTATAATGGTTTTTATAAGGTTATTAATGCAAAGCATATCGATAATCAAGGTGGTACAACTATCAATGCTACTTAATGTCACCTTTGCTTTTCAAAAGCCTTTCTTCCTCGCCAACACGCCTTCGTAGTGCATTGAGCAGTGATCCAAAATATAAAGCAAAAACCGTGCAGGTAATTGTGATGACATTGTAAGGCATGCTAAAATCAGGAGTCGTCAATGGCACAAGGAGCACTTCTGTGTAACAGATAACATGCTTTCTTTCCTGATTATGTAGATAGTTAAGACAATGAATAAAAAGAAAGATGAAAACAGCTTCGAGCCATTGGGATTGCTTGTTTCGATACCTGTAACTCATTCAATATTGGCAACTTGTTCAAAAAATTATCTTCAAAACCTATGCTTGCTTGGAAGTCAGTAAAGCTTACTACAGCTGACGGAATGTCAAATCCCTGGTTAGCATCTGGAGGATATTCATCTATGTGCAGAAAGCCCTGTTGAAACAACAAAGGAAGTAAAAAGGCTAAAAAAGTAATATTAAATGCTTAAAAATATTAAAAATGAGGTGCCACAGATGTCCTAATAAAGAAAACATCCAATGTCATAGATCCCGACATTGAAAAAATAAAGTTGAAATTAGACAGAAATACAATTTAGCAAATGGAAACAAATTAGAATTGATCATAAAGCAAGGGAATCCAGCCAATCTATAATGGCTATTCTTTTAGTTGTCTTTACACTAAATTGTGTCTTTCCAATACAGCCAACTTCTTTCCCAATTATTCTTATTTATCTTACAGCAGAACAGTTCCCCAATTTTAGTTTTCAAGGCCAGTAGTGGTCAATGCCTTAAAAGTGGCTGGATTTGAACTGGCCCTTTTGAGAAGTTAGCAGAATTTGAATTGTCTACAACACACTCAAGTCCGCCCTAGACAAGAATATGGAATTAACAAGACTTCAATAATTAGCAAAAAGTTGCTTTGCCTATTATTGAACCCACAATCTACAAATATCAGCTCTAGATTTTATAATTGTCAACATCTCAAGTAACTCAATATTCATGTCACAGATGACATAAAATTTGCAAGTCACATACATGACTATTCCTTTCTTCGTCCCTCAAAAAATTTAGTCATCAAGTTCAACCATCTAAAGTATGTACAAATAGACGAAAATTCCTATTTTAAAGTACATAGTCTGCTCTCTTTTTCTCCAAGTATTTATTGGTTGTTCATGAACAGCAATCAAAAAGCTGATTTTAGCATGATTTGGTTACTAACAAGTAACAATACTGAATCAAATCAAAATGTTTTACCTTATCAAACTCCAATGTTAATGCAGCTGTTTTAACACCACAGGGTAATCTCAAGATCATTTCCATTACTCCGGGAGAGACCTTGTCTTCGGAAGGTGAAACATGCATATTTTCTATGTTTTCCATTGTAGACTGAAGTTCTCCATCTATGAATACCTTCAGTGTGTGATAATAGACCTTGACATACCAAGGCACCACTTGGAAAATATCAATACTTAACAGAGATCCTTTCTCACTGCAACCAACTCTTTGTGTATTGTTGATACCAGAAGATTTCAAGGAGATTGCTATGGCACCCCTCTCATTCCCACTTCCCATTAAGAACCTACTAGCACGTAAAGGTGCTTGCTGACACAACCATGCTACAGGGAGCTTCCACCTTAAGCCCAAATCAAATGGTTCTGAGTCATTGTAATCCTCAACCAAAAATTCATATAGAATTGAGGAATCCTCTTGCTGCAAGTTCCCTACTTCTTTTACTACCCTATGGGGGGAAGCTGACATTTCAAAGATCGGGTTAGTCCAAAAGTCATCATGAATAAGAATTCCACTCTCCGATCCTTCACTTTCCTTCCACATTTCCTTCAATTCAGATACTAGGTTCTGCTCAAACTGAACATACACATTACTAGACTTTGATACGGAACATCTTCCATGGACTTTCCTGCCAAACAATGAACTCAGGGACCAACTTGGCTGTAATGTTTTAACAGAAACCATTGCTCTGGCCTCCAATGTGCTTGGTTGAAGAACTACTGTAAGGGTTTGTTCAAGCATTATACCAGAATTCGATTTAACTGCATCAAATTCATCTGAAGTCAAATGGAGCCGCTGAGAATGATAATATCCTCTGTATATAGAAGGCCTGTCCATTAGTGCAGAAAGCCCAGCTTTGTCTCGGCAAGGAAGCAACTTCAACCAGGGAGTGAGATTTTCAGTGCAAACAGCTTCACGGGGCAGTGTTCCATAACGTAATTTGCCTGCAAATGAATGAAAGCTCCACTGAGGTGCAGAGTAACTAGTTGAATGTTCCAGAAAGTTGATTGAAGCACAAAAGAGCCCTGAAAGAGCATGGGTCAAATTTTTCCATGACGCATCAACCTGATCTAGGGGAACATCAAAATCAGCCCACAACTCAACTCCAGGAGGCTTTGCATTATTGCTTGATATGGGATCATATCCGCCCCAGCTTTCATAATTCCACCGACCTTGGGTGAAAGATAACTCCATCTCCCGGACTCTGAATTTGTTAACCTGATCATGCAACCATGAGAATGTCTGTTGTGAATTCAGATTGCACTGAACAACAAAACCCAACAATCTAAAAAAAAAGATCTATTTAATCTTTTTAAGCAGTATTGAGTATTTTAATAACATGAATGCATCAAAAAGAATATCTAATGAGAATGCAATATTCCCCATAAATAGTTAACTCAGAGCCCTTCAGAAGGACAAAACACATTATCCACGAACTCCATGAAAAGACCACTAGCATTTTCAATAAATATTTTACACCACCAAATCCAAAATATAGTATCTTAGATCAAGACATCGAAACCAAACTGCTCCATGCTCCACACATAAAAAATGGACATATATAAAACAAAGAAGAATTATATGGCTTCAATCTTCGAAAAACGATAAAAAAGGGTAAAAGAAATAACAAAGGGTGATTTCAAAGTTACTCAGAAAGACGAAACCCCCAGCCTATTGCAAATCAGTGATGTCATTGCAACAACATTGTACACTTGCAATAGCAAAGTTGTTGTAGACCAAACTTGCCAGAATTCACACTCTCCAAGATATCTGATGTGGTTCTCTCTAAGAAGATTGTGCGTGATTCAATTTCTAGATCGCCAAATACTTTCAATCATGAAACTTCAAATTTTTTTCCTTATAACCGTGGATGTTCAGGCTAGCTTGTGAGCACCTCAATTAATCCCACGGAACCCTGAAGTTAAACTTCAAAATTTTGAACATCATAATTGGCATACAACTTACATATTCTTTTAATTTGGCCTTCTGTACTGTAAATTTTTGCTTCAACTTTTTTTTAACTTAATCTTCATGTACCTTTTTCCAAAATAATTATGCTTTGCCCATGCACATTTTCTGAATCAGTGATTTAGTTTGAAATTGGCGTTCTGAAGAACCAATTCAGGATATCTGAATCATAGCTATCAGTCCTAATTTTATTCCAAACAGTAGTGATTGGCATTCTAGGTTATGCAGATTCAAAAAGAACTCATTTATTTCTTTATATATTTCTATTCGCTAGTGTCGAGATCAAAATTTGTCCATTATCTCTTGTTAATATATCCATGAGGAAATTCAGCACGTTTACAAATTGCATCCCTTTCCATTTATATAAACATAGTCCAGTTAACAAAGAATGCACTTCTAACTAAATCATAGTTGAGTTACGTCAAATGATCAAAAGGTTAAGAAGTAGGACTGAAAACCAGATGTCAGGTTCCATGAGTATCTATACATGAACGAAAGTGAGACCACGCTTGTAGGTTAGCTTAAATTCTGGGAAACGAATAATTGAGCGATGTCATAGATATTCCCTTTCTACAAGTGCCGTCTCACCAATATTTAGTTATGTATGATTGCAATGCCACAATGTTATATGGAGCTAAATATTGAGCTTGAGCATTACTGGGAGGAGAATAATTCTATGAATTTTCAATAAAACAAGAAGGAATAAAATCAGAAATGACTGCATTAGTCATGGTGAGTTGGTTAACGTATCGTCAATTGAAGATAACTTGGGGAAAACACTTGAGATGGTTTGGGCATTTTAAGCGAAGGAATCTAGAAGAAGTAACGAATAAGTTAAGAAAATGACGAAGCTAGTATTACCGGTTACGTAACATCACATGCAATAAATTAAAACGGATTTGCATTTTCATTCTATCACGTGACCTTTGATTGAGTGAATAGGAAAATCAGAATCCTTGTGGCCAACTCTAGATAACTATGAGATAATGCTCCTTCAGTTTAGTTAAATTTTCTTCCTATATTTTATAGAAATCCAAATAATAAGTGTCTCACTTGTTTCTACAAGACACGATTTACTTGAACTAGTTTGACTTATTTTGTTGATCTACTACGTCCCCCACTAGCTTGCAAGTATCCAATGTGGTAGTGCATGCTACGATGAAAAAATTAATAGATTAATTTGATTAAATGTCCACCAAAACCAAGTTACAGCCAGCTACAAATTCATAACTCTCCTCGCTTCTCAACGTACACGTCTATGGTTGCAAGCTCTACTAGGCCCTAAATTAATTATTATTCACTTTTATCCTTTGACTATCGTACTAACTTCTGTTTATCACTGTTTCCACAACATGAAAGGCTCATTTCTACTGCTTCAAGCCTTCAACAATGATCAGGCTTTGTAATATATTAAATCTTCAAATGTGAGAATCATAATTCTCATTCAAACGGAATGATGAATATTCCTTTGTTCCAATGTTTTCCAAATGGAAATATTAAGTGCTTCAGATGCGGAAATACATCAACAACTTATTTACTTACCCAACAACTAAGGAAGGATATCCATTGATTGAGGGTTAAGATGAATAGATAATAAACTCAAATGCTCAAATAATGAGGATGTGATTTCACTCATTTTAATTACTTAATGCCACGAGTT